CAATTAGTGTTACACAGCCCATTTATCGAGAAAGGCTATAGATCAACCAACCAACAGGAGCCTGGCATCAATGAAAAATGATGCAAAATTCACTCCTTTTAAGAAACACGGTCAGCTAAATACCTCAATAATATAAGTGGTTTTATAAGTTTTAAACTGGATTACATATAATTGTACCTGAAAAAAGGTCTTATAATTGTACCTAAAATATGAAGCAAACACACACACACACACACACACAACTTAATGTTTTTATACTATAGGAAAAATATGTGAAAACGGCCACACAAAACCATAGGGGATCAGATTATATTTTGACCTGAAAAATATATGCAATGATAGTTCAACATATACTGGTTAAGAAATAAGACAATGCAAATAAACAAGACAAGAACAAAACAAAATAGTCGATATTCCACCCCCAGGCGACCTCTAGGACATATAAACACATCTTCATTTTATTATAGTTTGCTTAATGGCATGTCAGTCACGAATATCAGTGGCAGTCGAGGCGACAACTCTGACCTGTCTTGACGTTCCTTGTGTAATATTCAGAGCAATTAATCATGTTCTAACTCAACATCTACCCACATATGAAATCTTGAGTCGGCTTAAGGTTTTCGAGGATCTAGAACCAGCCTACTAGTACTTAGATAATAAGATTATTTAAGGGCCTACTTGCAAGATTTAAAGATATATCTCAGAAAGGAATAGAGAATTGATGGGCCGGTTAGTCTAGTGGCTTGCAATCCTTATTGCTGAGCCAGAGGTCGTGGTTTCGATTCCCACGGTGGGAAAAATTTCGGTCTAGTAAGTAGTAGTAGTAGCCGACTAAGGGAACAAAAACTCGAAATTTACGAGTGTGTTGCCAGACTCAGGGGAAGGGAGGGATTGCGTATCTGGCAACCTTACTCAGTCAGTAAAAAGCAGCGAAAAAACTGCTTAACATCGGTTTTCTGTGAGGTCATGGTATCACTAAAATTTGATGGCTCAGGTATTCATCTAAAAATATGAGGTTTAGCCAGCGTTTGCACTGTAAGCGCACAAAAACATGTTTTTCACAACAAATGTTTGAAGCTCTCGGATTTTTTCTACTATAATATGCATGTATTATACATATAAACCTTCCTCTTGAATCACTCTCTCTATTGGTGATTGCATTAAAATCCGTTGCTTGGTTTAAAAGATATAAGCTTAAGACAGATCTAAGCGAAAAAAGCGTCGGGAAAAAGTCTTGTTACACATTTTTCGGTCTAGCTCCCATCCGCTCAGCGTGTAACGCGCGATAAGGAACTTCGTTCCAAAACTTTGCTTATAAAGCAGTTCCGTCCTAAAATTAATGATTTTGTACGGTAAAAGTACAATAACTGTTTGTTTTGGCTTATTCACCCATTTCTACATAGACACATGACCAGGCCATTTCAAAGATCCTAAACACACACAAGTAACGCATCAGCAGAACCGTTTATATCGTCTAGAAACCTAGCCATTTCGTATTCAGAAAACGATGTCTCATTATGATACGATATGGTGATCCTGGCAAGTTCGATATACACTTGAATGGACCGACTGTTCATATAAACGTTTGATGTAACTACTTTTATAAAGACCTTTATATATGGTCGGATTGCCAGGCAATAACTTCAGATCGTTGCACTATAAAGTGGTTTAAGTTATAAGCGTTATGTTTACTAAATAAAAAAAAGAGAAGGAGAATTTAGTGGGTCAGAAAATTGAGCCGGTGAAAGAATGCGTTGTCTTTTATAGATTAAAGGCAATTTTTTAGTCAAATGACTTTTTTATGTTAGAGGGGGCAAACGAGCAGACGGGTCACCTGATGAAAAGTGTCTATCGCCGCCCATGAACGACTTCTATTTCTGCAGAAATCTGCTGTACTTTTTAGCTATTTTTCAAGTCTGTAAATAACATTATGATGAAGTTATCTCCTTTATAGTTGACTGTTTGGACTGACTGACTGCACGGATGGCGTAGTGGTTTAAGCGGTCGCCACGCCGCTCACTACTACGCCGAGTGCCGTGGGTCCAATCCCCACATTATTGTTCTGAGTCTGGGTGTTCTTTGTGTCCGTTTCATGCATGTTTTTAAAGTCCTCCGCGACACATGATTTATTCCTAGTGCGGGAGTTGTCTTTTAAAAAGAGCAAAAAGAGAGAGAGAGAAAAGTTACAATTTTAATGCGTTATTATTACCTATTATACCTATATCATTATGACCGATTTAAGTATTGCACTTATTTTATTACTGATAATTTTTTTAAATCTAGTTTATTTTTAAGCGAAAACACTCCAAGACCTTTTTGTTTAGTATCGAGTGTAAAATGGACTAAAAAATTGAATAAAAGATATCTCAGTCACTTCTAATATTATTTTGGTTGCAGTTCTCCTTACACATTTGCAATACATCAGAGCTTCCCCAAACATTTTTTTCTCGTAGTCCACTTTCAAAATTTTCTGGTTTCGAGGAATCCCATTCTAGCATATTCCCAAAACTCGCTAAATTTTTCAACATAAATCCCCGCCGAGTCTCCCGTTCACCCCTCTGCAATGCAGGGATTCTTAAAGCGGTCCCGTTCACCCATCTGGACTGCTTTAAGAATACCTACATTGCCTACTTCACATCCTAAGTTAGCAGTTTTACCTGATTCGTTTAAATATCCTTCCTGGATGTCCGGTTTTATAAACCGGATAAACGCATTTACTAATTGTATGTCAAATCTGTTGTGGAGTATATATTAAGTATTAGATGTCAAGATCATGAGATCAATTACCAGGACCATAAATCTTAATAAATCACTCTAGTTTTTAACTAAGCCACCACCCATAGCTCACGATGTTGGGGAAACTCGCCCTCAGAACAAGCTTTTAACTATTTTTAAATCTATTTCAATCTGTTTCACCTTTGCTTTCAATGAAAATCAATAGTGAAAGAGAGACCTATGTTCAGCAGTGGCCTATTAATGGCCGTTAATGTGATGATGTGATAAAGTACGCATACATTTCACGCGATCTAGACGATCGTGCGAACCATAATAATATTTTTTTCAATAATTAGGTTGTTAAGATAACATACTAATACAGTTCTTTTTTTTTATATTTAATAATTTCTCGTCATAAACAAGAACTTCTCAAGGCAAGGCGTAAATAAGAAGTTGCTAAAAGGAAAACATCTTTGATTGTTAAATCGACTTTGCCTCTTTGAAGGACGTGGGTGCGAGAATAAAACTCTTCAAACATTAATAACCCGTAGCTGTGAGTCTTGTTGTCGGCACCCTTGTTGAACCAAAAATAACCCTAAACGAGTTTGGGTTATAAATATTGAATAAGTTTAGTATCTGAAAACTTAGAAATTGAGTTGAGAATTTCAAGAAAAGATAGGAAGCTACATATATACATATGTTACAATACCTAAATACATTAAAATAACTTAGACGGGCCTGTTGGGGCTTAGTGGTCAGTGAGCCTGGCTCCTAAGCCGGTTCGATTGCCACCCAGGACAAATTGTGTGATGAGCACGTTCATTTGTTCTGTGTCTGGATGTAATTTATCTATACTAATTTAGAAATAAATAAGTATGTTTATCAGCAGTCTGGTTACCATAGTAGCCTAATGGTATCCTGAACATAATCTTCTTGTTTATGTCATCAAAGACTTTAATGAATTGATACCGATTTAATCAAAAAGAATTAAAATGCGATTCTCAAAGTACGAATGAATCATAGGGATTTGGTTTACGAGCTTTATTTGGTAGACCTTACCTTAAAAGTACACGTCTCTAAACAGGTTGTCGGGCCATGTCACCAATAAATATTTTTAAATGTACTGAGCATTATATGCCATATGGCCCAAGACCACAGGTCTTGGGCCATATGGCTTGTTTTACTGAATTTATACAAGTTCCAAACTAGGAAGCAAAATCAACCTTGACTTTTTATCAGCTTCAAGCGGTCTAGTTATTACCACAGATAAGGCGTGAATCACATGGCGTGGCGTGGCTGTCCGTGTGGTGACAGATTAGGAATACAGAGTGTCACCACCCCTATTCATCCCGTGGGTGTCGTAAGAGCCGACTAAGGGAGCAAGCTACGTAGGACAACAGCATTGCAAAGAGAAGCAAAACTTGATACAAACCATATACCAACCCGTCTGGCCGGCGTGTTATAGTAGGCCAAAACCTCCTTCCTAAAGAGAGGCCTATGTCCAGCAGTGGACTACTAAAGGCTGTTGATGTGATGTGATGTGATGTGCGGCGTGAATTTCTATTGAAACATAGTAAAAAAGTTTAACAATTATCGAAAGAAAAAAATCTGAATTAGCGATGTGTGAATGCGCTGTGATGTGTGCGTGTACGTGGATGTGTTTGTATGTGTGTAGATCGTTGTGTTCGATTTAGATCTTTTTTTTTAAAGCCAAAACCGACTTTTAACCTTGAAAAGACAGTATTGACAACCATATTTTGAAACATGTGCACTTTTAAAGAAATCTAAAACAAATTTCGAAACGATTTGGGGTTCGATCTCGTTATAAAGATAAAATAATAATGTATACAGACAAGGAATCAGATCTTTCTTTCCTTCAAATTAATAAACTTAATAAACTTATGAAAATTTGACAGTAATGTAAAAGAGCCGTTCAAAACCCGCCATTATTTAGTAGTATTTTAATACAGTCACCGAATATGGGAAATTGCACCCCACCTGCAGGTGGTGTCCGAGGGGATTTCCGAACAAAAACACAGAAAGGGGTATAGGCAGAAGTGTATAAAACATTTACCAACTACAGTAAAATAACTATGTATCTCGTCATTTCACTGCACGGATGGCGTAGTAGTTTAAGCGGTCTCCCCGCCGCTTCCTACTGCGCTGCTTTCTGTAATCCACAATTTGCTGTTCTCAGTCTGGGTGTCCTTTGTGTCCGTTTAATGTATGTTTGTAAAGTCATACAGGATACAGGATTTCTAATAAATAACCATTTCTTGTTTCAGGCATACACACCAACAGGCTTTGAAAAATATGGCTGTACTTGTACTGTAGCTGATTATAGAGTCACTTTCTCCGTGTGGGACACGTCAGGTAAGCGCCTTTTCTTATTATACTAGTAATTTTCGCCACTTATTTGTAGAATGAAAAGCATCACATACATCGCCCTATTTAGTGACATACTTTTATTAATTTCACTTGTCACTAGTTAATTAACTAAATTAGTAACTGACAAATACCGAAATTTCTAAACCAATAAAGCAAATCAATTTTAACCAACTTTTTTGTGGTTTCATCTAAAAAGTTCTTTATATATCCATACTCCGTTTTTATATAATAAATGTAAAGGTGAGTTTGTTTATTTGTTTGTTACGATTTCTACTACAAAACCGATTTTAAAAATTCTTTCACCAATGGAAAGCCACATTATCAGCGAGTAACATAGGCGACTTTTTACATTCACGCGGGCGGAGCTGCGGGTAAAAGCTAGTAGGTATATAAACCTGGGGAGAGCCTCACAGAAAAGTCAGAAAACTTGCTTTTCACCGAGTGAGTCAGGTACCCCAGAGCCCAATTCTTGCCTTGAAGGCTCTAGGTTTGCCATCTTGCTCTCTTACGTAACTAAGTGAAATTATAGTCTGCAAAACTAAGGTGTCGGAATATTTCGAATGTCAAAAAAGGAAGAATCCTGTAATAATAAAAATTTCAAAAAAAGCGTTGGGTGCTTTTTACTATTGACAACAGGCACCCAACGCTTTTTTTGAAATTTATTTTCTATTTTTTAGTTTGGTTTTCTATAGAAAGCGTGTTTTTTAGTTTTTTAAAACTATTTTTTTTTTTTAAACTATAATTTTTTTCATTTTTTTTTTATATTAGTGTATTGTCATCGGTCCTCGATATATCTACAAAGTTTAAACGAATTCTGACCGTTTAAAGTCAGTCAAAATTACGCCCAAAGGAGTCGGTTACATACAAACAAACATACAGGTGAAGCTAATAAAAGCGTGTTAAAAAAAAAACAATTTAGAAGTATTCACTTCTGGCGGCACTCCCGGATTGTTTTATGGAAGAGGGGGCAAACGAGCAGACGGATCACCTGATGGAAAGCAACTACCGCCGCCCATGAACGCCTGCAACAACAGGAGTCACAAGCCTTAAAGCAAAAATCTTAAACAAGGCTTAGGTATAAAGACGTGAGAGTGATTTTATTCCTTACTAGCTGACCCACGCAACTTCGTCTGCGTCTCTCAATAGTAATAAATTTTCTCCGTTTTTGAAACATTCTTCATTGGTGCTTTGCTGTAATTGGTCTTAGCGTGATGATATATAGCCTATAGCCTTCCTCGATAAATGGGCTATCTAACACTGAAAGAATTTTTTAAATCGGACCAGTAGTTCCTGAGATTAGCGCGTTCAAACAAACAAACAAACTCTTCAGCTTTATAATATTAGTATAGATTCCGTGTCATAAAATAAAGTTCCTTTTGTGAATTAGCATTTAATGTTTATTATAATTAAGTAAGACTTTATAAGATTCCCGACTTTGTTGTAGAAAAACAAGCGAGTTTCAAAGATAAACGGATGCACTTTAACTGTACTCCAAAATGTTAAACTAAAGTAACAGATATAACGCAGTTAGATTTATACTAATTCAAGGGAAAGCTTTTACAGAAACTTTTCTACATTATAGAAAATATATTTATTTTGTAAAGCGGCGTAAACACGGCGTGCGGTCTTTATATCTCTTTCATTCTTAGCCTATTTGGGCTAGAGCAACTGTATCTATTAACTGCTGTGATGTATTGAAATACTTTATTAAATTCGTAATTAAGTTGAATAATACTAGTCAAGGGATTGTTAATTTTTACTAGTGATGTGCCGGATATCCGTATCGTATCCGTATCCGCGGATATCCAAGGGAGAAGAGAGATCCGTAACCGTATCCGTATCCGTGACTTTTTTGGCGGATCTTTCAATACATAGATGAAATTCTTTATAGGTGATTTTGTATTCACTGTAAAACTCTTAGGTATGTGTTTGTAACACTATAAACAGCAACTTTTTTTCTGGCCAACGTCAAAATGAAAAAAAAATTGGTCCTCCATTCAAATGACCAATCAAATGTTGTTGGTTTGTATGGAGAAACAAATTTTTTTCTTTCGTTTTCAGTGTTAGTCCAGAAGAAAAGTTTTTGTTTATAATGTTACTAATATACACTTGAGAGATCTTCAGTAAATTTAAAATAACCCTGAATAATGGTTATTAGGTAGCTAAGAAAAACTATTGAATTCTGTTCAGATTACTTTTTATTTCTTAAAACAAATATTTGGCACCTTTGTATTGCAATCATTTATCGTACTACACTAAATCAACTAGGCAGGTCGTAGGTACTGAAAGAGCTATCTTTATAATGAGATCAATCAAACATCTTTGTATTAGCTTATTAAAATAATGAAATATTTAAATATCAACGGCAAAGCATCAAGTGGCGACAACTATCAAGGTCACGGGCTCAGATTGAGTAAGAAACTTAAGATCCGTATCCGTATCCGTATCCGCGGATCTTGACACCAAATATCCGTATTCGGATCCGTATCCGCGGATATACTTTGTTAACGATCCGGCACATCACTAATTTTTACCACATGTTTGAACAGTTTGTTCAATTTATTAATTTAAAATGAAATAATGGAACGGGACTTAAAAGTGAATCAGTGGTTGAAATTTTTAAATACATTTAGTTGTAGCTCGTATGTTTTATAATTTTACCAAATTCTCATCTGACATAACTTTTATAGTCTTCCTTATTCGGCTTTTAAAGTAAGGCAATTATAACATCCAACAATTCTCAACAAATAAAGGAGAATATTGACTGGTTCTATTAAAACTTAGAATTGGTTTATGCTGAACCGAGTCATATAATAAATAAATCATTATATGGCAACATAAAACAATTTTGTTTGAACACGATTATATAACCATTTATAAACAGGCTCTAACAGAAGTTTACAGTCTGAAAATAAGTAAAACATCTGTGTGTTTATTGCCTCAGAAATATATGTTTTCAACATTGCGTCTTGAAATATATCCTATCCTTCCTGTACATCTTAGACTTTTTAGATTTATTTCTAACTTTTGACTCGACGTTAGATCTAAGTTGGAAACAGTGACATGTATATTGAGAGAGCTTGAGAGACACACTGGTGCTAAGGGTGTCAAGGAAAAAAGTATTAATTGTAATTCTATTGTTTCTATAAATAAGACTGGATTATGAGACCTATATGATTACTGCATTATTTTTAGAGACTGTTCTTTCAAAACATAAAAAAATATGCCTTGAAAATCAGGAACTACGTTTATTTATATTGTAGATCTTGACACCCGAAGGTTAATTATTATAAATATTCTTTAAGCACTTGTGATAGGGCTCTACTAGGATTTTTATCACTTCACCTAGGACGTCTACTGTTGCTTCCAATTTTAGGGCATTTCAATTACGTCGGAGCACTAGGGATTTGATTTTTACTCTGCTCTATTATATTAATCGTGTAGAGTAGTAGAGCTGAAAGACATATACTGACCATATCATCAGTATCATCAGAAGGACCTCGTTAAAAGCACCTGTAAACGGCATAAAATGAAAACAATGGTATAGGAATGTAGGTCGTTGCAAATGGCGATCCAACGTCTCTGCCTACCCCAGTGAGGTATGAGACGTGAGTGTATGTATGTAACGTAATAAGCTGTAAGTTTTCCTATATCGCCGTGTTACGTATAAACATTATATTTTTATTTTTATGCAGTGCGTAAACGGGGTTATAAAACGTAACGATCGCACGAACTCAGAGCGTCTTATACGGAATCAAATATCAAACCGCTATACCGCTTTATGAAGCAAATGTGACAGGCAACTAAATGCTTGCCAGTTGTAGTGATATTGGTGCTAAACTAAAGTAAAAATCACTAAAAATTAGTTTAGTCATCTCAAGAAACGTTTCTTATCCTCAAAACGTAGTACTTGACAGAACTAAACTAATTTTAGTGATTTTTAGTTTAGTTTAGAGAGTTTTCGAACAACAGAATTAGCACCATTGCCGAGTTTATTTAAGGCTAAGGCTTAAGTAAAGAAAAAGCTAAACTTTTTACAAAGGCTAGGACTCTTTTTTGCGATTTAGACCTTCGCGAGTCTGTCGCTAGCGTAATCGCAATAAATAAGTCGCAGTGGTATTGTAAATTAGTCACAGTTGTTATTATATGATTGAATAATCATATGATTTCTAACAGGTGATCGTCATTTCTTTTCTTTCTTAAACAAGACAACTCCCGCACTAGGAATAAATCCTGTGTTGCGGGGACTTTACAAACATACATGAAACGGACAGAAAGTACACCCAGACTCAGAACAACAATTTTTGGATCACACAAAGTGTCGCCCCATATGGGGTTTGAACCCACAACACTCGTCGCAGTAGGAAGCGGCGTAGCGACCGCTTAAACCACTACGCCATCTGTGCAGTCAATTATTCCATTCCTAATACTGAATAAAATGATGAAAAAATAAAAAGCCTTTGAGCCAAATTGGAAATTCACTATATATTATATTGGTATCCTGTTTAATGATGAATACGGTTGTTAATGATTGTACAATTATCGTACAACCGCAAATCACACAATATTGCGCAATAAGCTACTTACGTCACGAATTTATTGGCATCGTTAAAAGCAGCTAACTTATGTTTATTTATTTAAATTGTTAATATTTTTTTCATGTACCCTTTTTCTCCCTTATTCTAGATATACAAGTGTTATACTAGAGACCTTAAACTTTTACGTAACTTTGAAAGAAAAGCAGCCTTTATAGGCTTGAAAATAAAGTACATTTTTGTCACACTCCCTGCGATTTCAGATATCTTTATAAACTCTGAAATCACAGTCATAGACTGAGGTAATCTTCTTATATTACATACTAGCTGACCCGGCAAACGTTGTTTTGCCACATACATTATATCAAGATAATATTGAAAAAAAAATTTTGGGGTGGGTCACCCTTGTTATTTAGGGGTATGAAAAATAGATGTTGGCCGATTCTCAGA